AGCGGGCTGAGTCACGGGGTCTGGGGCAGGCACAGCCCGGCAGCACAGGCCACCGCAGGAAGGCAGAAGTCCTTGTCCCCGCTGTAAACACCCTCTGGGGGAGCTGGGTCCCTGCCTGTCAAGGACCCGCCGCGGCCCCTCCCAGGGATTTGGGGTCAAGCTCTGAGTAAATCATCCCGCGGCCCTCCCTCCTGGTGGCCCTCCCTCCTGGTGGCCCTTCCTCCTGGTGGCCGCCCCGCCCTCCTGCGCCTCCGCGGGGCCTGGGAGACTCTGGGCGGCCGTCCCCGCGCTGTCCTCGGCCGCCCGCCCGCGGGCCTGCCCCGAGCTGTCCCGGCCACCTGGTCGCCCTCTTCCCAGCCTTCACAGGGCCAGCGTCCTGATGGTCCACCCACAGCAGGAAGCTCCGCGGTCCTGCCCCTGGCGCCCCCTCCCCTCCCTGGCTCCCCTCTTCCTGGGGCCGCCCCTCAGCCCAGCTCCTGGCACCGCGCAGTGGGCCCTGCCCACCTTGAGGGAGCCACCAAGGGAGGAAGGAGCGGAGTCCTCGCAGGCTCCAGGCGAACCTCCTGGCGCCTCCCCCTCTCAGCCACCCCTCACCGTTCATGGAGTGGACCCCAGCTCCCGTCCCCTGCAGAGCCCCGGGGACCCAGCCCTGCCTGACCTCATTTCCTTCCAGTGTCCCTGTCTCTCCTGGCTCCAGCCTCTGTGGCCTCCTTTCGGGTTTCTCAGCCACTGGGCGTGTTCCTGCCTCAGGGCAGCACCATCTCTGTTCCGGGTGCCCGAATGCTTGTCCCATGAGGCCTTCTTGTCATTTATGTCTCCCTGAGATGCCTTCCCCACCCCATCCTCCAGCAGGTGACCCCATTTTGTTCCTCCACAATGTGTCACCAGCGCGATCTGAAATTATCTTGTTTACTTTCAAATCTTTGAGTGACTTTCAGCTGAGTTTGTGACTGTGCTTGAATAAGTACAGCTTTCCCCAGCTTCCCTCGCAGGTAGGTTTAGCCACATGCCTGAGTTCTGGCCATCGCGTTGAAGTGGGAAATTGGTGGCGATTTCTGAAATCCTTCCTGGAGATTTAGCTGCCCTTCACTCCTCGTCTTTCTTTACTATCCTGCCATGTGCAAGGCAGATGTGAAGGCTGGTGCAATGGCCTCCATCTTGGATCATGAGAAGGAGGGTCAGCCCCTAGGAAAGGCAGAGTAGTGTACAAGAAGGAGCTGAGACACAAAGGGCTTTGTGCACTTGCCAAACTCCCTACGCTGTCTACACCTGGGCTTCATTCACTCAAGAGAAAAATAAACTCTTTTGTTTATTGTTGAATTTTTCAAATTGTTCATCATATTTTATTGTGACTACATTTATACGCCCGATCTGTGCACTCTGCTAGGCCAGCGAGCGGACACACTGCACATTCTTATTTTATAATACTCAGAGCTTTTTAAACTCTGCAGAATTCTACTTGGCCCTTTCAGAGGAGCCCTGGGTCAGAGAGGGGAGGCCCGCCTCTTGCCTGAGTGCGCCCGGCACAGGAGCGCGGGGCTGGCCTTGGACTCTGGGGGCCCGGATGCCAACCCTGAGCTGCCTCTCAGATGCGCGCAGCGTGAGGTGCAGCTGGGTTTGCTCAGGCTCCACCGACCCTGGGCCCTGCCACCTCCGCAGGCTCTGCCTCTCAGGCCCAGGGTCTTGGTTCTGGGAAAGGATCCAGCCAGGGCTGAATCCCATCTCTGCTGCGGGGCGCTGTGCAGCCTGGGGAAGACCCTAACCTGTCTGAACCTCCGTTTCCCACTAGTTTCCCTGGGCAGCCGTCCTGCAGCTTCCGTCCAGCTTCCTTCCGTGCTGTTTAGAATGTCTGACCCTCTCCAAGGACAGAGCACGTCCCACAGAGCAGAAGGTTCTGGAATGCAGGCGTGTCCGCTGTTAGGAGAAGGTGATCTACTTGGTGTGCACTTTGGAGTGAGTTCTGGGTTCAAACCCTGGGCCGACAGTTGGGGACCATGTGACCAAGCACGCCACCTCCTTCAGGCCTTCTCTGGCCATCTTCCTGTGGACAGCAGCTCCCTTGCGCTGCTCACTCAGCACAGGAGGAGGGGCACCCCGCGACCAGGCCACCGCCCGGGGCTAGGAACCGCCAGGACCGGGTCCTTCCCAGGGTCCTTCCTGGGGGTCCTTCCCGGGGGTCCTTCCCGGGGTCCTTCCCGGGTCCTTCCTCTGCCGACAACTGGGAAGCCGAGGAGCCGCCAGACGCGCAGCACCATCGGTCCTTCCCAGGGTCCTTCCCGGGGGTCCTTCCGGGGGTCCTTCCCGGGTCCTTCCTCTGCCGACAACTGGGAAGCCGAGGAGCCGCCAGACGCGCAGCACCATCGCCCCCTGCCCGGGGCGGCCACCCTGCTGCCTTCCCGCTCCAGGTCCTGGGTCCCCCCTCTAGGAGGGCCCGCCCCTCCGCACAGTCGCCTCGGTCCCTCTGAAACCATCTTGTCCACGGCCCACGGCCCCTGGGCGGACTCGCCGCTGTGGCTTGGGCACTGGGGACCCGGGCGCATGGTATTGCTCAGAAGACACGTGCTCTGGGGCGCTCACGTGGCCGGCTCCAGATGGCCCTGGTGCCATTGCGCATGCGACCTGTTCACGCAGCACCCCCGGTTCCCACGTGACCCTGGCCCGGCCTCTCCCCAGCCCGACAGGGCTGCGTCTTCAGGGGCGCACAGGGCTCCGCATGGGGACGGGGGGCACCCGGCCAGCAGGGACCCGCGGGCCCGGGGCGAGGCAGTGGCCATGTCGTCAGGAGGCAGCGGGCCTGGTGGAGGACAGCGCGTGGAGGCGGCCTCCCAGGCAGCCGCACCCCTCTGCACCCCGCCTCCCACCCCTGGGAACGAGGAAGTCAGAGCGGACGTCCCTCCCCCGGGGTCCTTGGCCCCGCACGTTGGCACTTGGGGACAGATCACCGTGGGGCGTCCATGTACCGCAGGGTGTGGACAGCATCCCGGGCCTCTTCCCACCAGGTGACAGAGTGACATCTCTGAATGTCCCAGACAGAGCGAGTGGGCTCCTGGAGGCCAGTTGCTCCCGTTGAGGACCGTGGCTTCAGGATGACCCTGGTGTTGAAGGAGCTAATTGGGAACCTATCACCTGGCACAGCCTGGCCTGCACAGGAGACGGCACCCACTGTCCCACTGAGTGGCCCAGGGCCTCACCTTCTTCACCTGTGACGTGGAATAACCAGGCTCCTGGGCGAATCTGCGCAGCGCTTAGGACATAGCAAGTGCCCAGCACAGGGGGACTTCAAGGCCATAGCAAGTGCCCAGCACAGGGGGATTTCAAGGCGCGGCTCAGGATGACCAAGACTTCTGGGGGAGGTGGGAGCAGGAGAGAGGGGCTTTGCCTTTGTCAGCATGGCGGGGGTCTTGGGGTGCACCCTGCGTCCATGGAGGGCACAGGAGCCCAGCTGCCCCCACGCAGGACAGTGGCTGGCCTGATCGCTCAGCCCTGCTGGACCATGTCATAATTAAGCTGCGTGAGGAATTATGGGGTGGAAGGCCAGAAGTGACCAGGCCTGGCCTTGCTTGGCTTTGCTGACGTGATGGCCCTGGGATCGTGGCCCTCTTGAGCCCATATACAGGGGGCTGGGCCCCAGGAGAGGCCAGGGCAGGCCAAGGTCTGTGTGCTTGAGTCACACGGGGGTGGGGGTGAGTCTCCCGCTGCTGGGAGGGGGCCGCTCTCACCTCTGCCCCCCTCTGGGCTTCCTGTCCTCCCCCCAGCCCCTCTTAATTCTCACCTCCAATTTATTGAGCATTTACTACGTGCAGGGCTCTGCCAAGCACTTCATATGGATGGACCCCCACGAAGCTGGGCTCTGTGCCCCCCCAGGTGAGGGAGACCCTCCGGCAGGACCCCCACTGCTCCCAGGGTGGCCAATGGGTCAGAGGGCACAGCGGACCCTGGCCATGTCCCCTGAGTCCCCGCCTCCGCCTCCTGTCCCCGCTCCTCGGCACCTCTCCCTGCTCCTCCTGCTCCTCCGCTCCCCCTCCACTTCCCTCTCCCTCCATCTGTTTCCCCATTTCCTGTCCACCCCGTCCTGCTCCCTGTCCCCCTCGGCCTCTCTCCCCTCCTCCGCCAGCTCCCTCTCACGGCCCCACCTCTGCCTCTGCAGCCAGCCCTGTCCCAGCGCCAGCACATTATGTCCCTGGTCAGACCCTGACGTCAGGCAGGGCCTGGCGGGCGGCCACCGGCTGCTGCCAGGCAGGCGGAGGGCGTGCTCAGCCTCCCGTCCCCACAGCCCACAGCCGTGGCCGCCCGCCCAGCCTCAAGCACAGCGCGGGCTTCTGTCCTCCTGGCCAGGCCTCGGCTGGCCTGAGAGGGGCTGGTGAGCCCAGGCCGGGGGCCGCGCACCTTCTCCCTTCCCTCCCTTGGCCCCACAGGTCCCAGGCCCCACCGGGTTCCAGAGGCTGACATGGCAGCATGGAGTCCTGCTGTGTGACCTTGGACAAGTCACTCAGCCTCTCTGAGCCTCCTCCTATCCCTGAAAAAACGAGGCCGTGGAGGCCCTTTCTTCTCAGGTCTGCAGGGACAGCGGTCCACACAGCAGCCCAGCCCAGCGTCCTCACACGGGGGTGGGCAGAGTTGGGGGCTGCTGGGTGTCACCGTGATGGGCACGTGGCTGGCCCTGGTGGGCAGGGGTGCCCCAGGGACACTGGGCAGAAGGCCCCACCTGCAGCCAGCAAAAAGCCTCCAGGTGCCCGCTCAGGCCCCATCCCAGGTCACACAAGTGGGTCAAAAATGTGACATTTCCTGTTCGGTTGGTTTGTTCCCCTCGACTCCAAGGCAGGGTGGCTCCCTAGGGGACAGGCTTCAGGGTCACACAGACCCCGGAGCCCAGCTGTGGGACCAGGGGCCGCGGCGTCCTCCCTGTTGAGGGGGACGGTGGAGGGGCAGAGCCCAGCCAGTCTGCGGGCCCACGGGAGGCGGCCAAGGGCAGGCGGGGTCCCCGAGGAGCGGCCGTCACCTCCACACGGAGCCCTGCTGCGGCCTCCCCCCAGGAGGGCGAGGCCGGGATCCCCAGGAGCCTCCAGAAGGCCCCTGGCGAGCGCCTCCCTCCTGCGGCAGCTCCTGCCCCTGGGCTGCACACAGGGAGCCTGCGGTGCCGCCACCAGGTCTGCCCAGGGGGGCCAGCATGGCCCCTGCCCGGGGCGGGCAGCACTTTCCCGGGCGCAGGTCTGTGGGCAGAGCCACAGGACCCCGAGCCTGGCCCTCTGGACGCCCACTTTCAGCCTGACCCTCACTGGATACATGGCCCGTTGTGTTCTGGGACAGGTCAGGATCCCCTGTCCCTCACGTCCTGTTTTTCCAGAGACACTTAAGAGAGAAGAACTCGCCCCTCCGCACCCCTCCTTCCACCAGTGAAGGGCTCCGTAGGTTCCCGCCGCCCTCGCTGGCCACCTGGCGCACCAAGGTCAGTCCTACCCCCGGGCCTTTGCACTGGCTGCTCCCTTGCCTAGAATATGCTTCCCGGGGAGATTTGCTGGGCTCCGTCTGCTACTGACGTTAGGTCCCTGCTCAGATGTCACCGTCCCAGAGACAACAGCTCAACCATTTGTCCAAATCAGCATCTCTGAGTCACCCGGTTTCCGCGTCTTCATAAAATGCTCCCCACCCCCCGGGGCTGTGCTACCTCGTGGGGTGTGGCGTCGCCCTGGGCTCAGACTCCTGGACTTTCTCCTGAGTGTCCGTCCATCTGAGGGAGGGACCTGGTCTGTTCTTCCTACCACAGCCCCAGCCCGACGACGGGATTAACGAGGCCCACGTCAT